AGCGTTGAAGGAGGCTGCCTTCAAGTGTGGGCTCCCCTGCAGACGCAGGTGAGGGCCCCGCGTGCTGAGAAGAGGCCCAAGGGTGCTGTCTGTTTAGTCACATCGACTAGAAAAGAATCATCCAAGAGCTTGTGAGTCAATCTGCCTCTCTAGAGAGATTCGTATTCTGCACCCAGGAATCTGTAGTTTCAAGACCTCCCCGAGTGGCTCTGATATAGAGCAGGTGAGGAAATAAGATGTATGGAGGCTCCGCATTCTGCCTAGTCTTGCTGCACACTCTTAAAACGCGTGACTCAGAGGCTTAAAATGAGCACGGTCTCATGTAAGTTGAAGGCCTTTGACTCACACCAAAGCAGACTCCACGACCCTGTCGATCTTTATCAATTCCAAGAGCGCCTCAAAATCCCTGGCTTACTAGTTACTGGATCTACAAATTAAACATGGCTCAGGCCCAGTGGAGGAATCCCAGGGTCGCACGTGTTTCTTGGGTACCTACTGGGAGGCGGTGCTATTCTAGCACGGGGAATGCAGTGAGCAAGACTGGCGAGTGACCATCCCAGCAGAGATGGTATTCCCATGGGAAGAATCAGAGAAGAAACAAGCTTGCAAATGAATCAGCTAGATAATTCCTGATAGTAGTAAGTACTGTGCAGAAGGTAAAGTGTAAACACTGTCTGCATCCTTCACTAAGGGATGGGGTGGGCGGGGGACGATAGCAGAGAGGCGTAAGGACCACGCTCGTTTACACGGCACGGTCAGAAAAGACCTTGTCACTGAGCACGTGGCATGTCATAGGCCTAATGCAACGGAAGGGGAGCAGCCTCTGAACCTCTGCGGGAGAAAGAAACTTGGTTTATTTGACATGGAGAAGATGGGTGTGTGGTGAACAAGCCAAGGACTTGTTAGTGACTAACTAAATGGCTTTATCTGAAATTGATCTTGAGAATTCTTAAATGTCCTTATAAAATACCTCCATTTATCAAGTATGTTTTATTTGGGTTACTGTTTTCTTTGGTTGGGCTTTGAATTCTTTTTATAATTGTGTGTGTAAGTTGTTTTCCTTTGCTGGACATTATCATAGGTGGTCCCACTATAAAAGCATGATTTGAATTCTGTGGCTGTTCTAAGATAAAGTCAGTGATAACGTGATGATCATAGAGTAGCTGGGTTTTATTGTATTTTGTTTGCCAGGCTGAGTTTATAGCAATTGCTCTTCGCTATATTATATTATTAAGCCAAAATCCACTTATTGTAGTGATTTTGTAAATCATTGAGATTATTTCTGATCAGAAAGTTATTATAGACCAGAAAGAAGAGACTCACTTTCTGTTTTTATAAAACTACATTTATGATAATGTACTTCTATACTTCAGCAAAAGAACATATATCCTCATAATGTTTGCATTGACTAGAGCCTATTTGTTTAATATTTTTTTTATTCCAGCTGCCATGTTATGCTACAGTCGTATGTCAGTTGCTTAAATTGCTTCATTCCTAACCCACAGTCTACAACCGGCATTAATGTCTTGGTATTTTTGTCATTGACATGAAAAAGTAAAAAGAATTTATCCTTTAATTTTCCGCTATGGCCAGGAGTTGAAATGGAAGGGAGAAAAGCACATCAGAGGATAGAAGAGGGACGTTTAAGAAGATACTTTAGAATATTCTGGAATGCTTCCTCACTTCCCCCAGCTCCAGGCACCGTAATCCCATTTTCTCCAGGACGTTGACATTTTACATGAAGTCATTTTGAAATGCCAGTTTGACACAGCATTTATCAAGTTCTTATCAGATCTAGGAACTCACCTAAGCCCATTACGATATTAACACATTTAATTCTCACAATAGCCCAATAAGGTACTGATATGGCCCCATTTTATAGATAAGTACATCGAGGCTCGGAGAAGTTGAGGAGCTTGCTCAGTAGCAAGTGGCACAACGGGGCCGAGAGCCCGAGCAGTGTGGGCGCAGAGACTGGGTCTTTACTCCCTCTAGCACACTGTCGCCGACGGCTTTGATACAGCCGTTCTGTCTTGGGGTATTTTAGTAACAGCCTGAAATATGGTTATCGAATTGCTGGCACAGCAGGAATCCAAAAGGCAAACCCTGGCGCCCAACCCAACCGCGGGCCCCCGGGTTTCCCCGAACCCTCCCCACAAATCACACCACACCCCCACACAGCCACACACACACCCCAGAGGGCACAGGCACACCCGCCCACACCCACACGCCACACAGTCAGTTGGGAGGAAACGTCCTGCTTCATCCTTTCTTTCCTCGAAGTCGCCTCCTTCAACTTCCAAGCTTGATGGAGGTGTGCACAGCCACGATTTCCAGCCAGGCCATTTTTGTTTCATGATCTTTGGGTTGGAAATGTACACATAGCAGATAGAAAGATCCCTACAGGTTGGAAGAAACTGGTGTTTATAATACGTAATCCACACCCAGCCGTCATTTCAAAGGATAAATTAGTGGAAGATTCATTACCTTGTTCAGGGTCCTCAAACTACGGCCTGCGGGCCAAGTGCGGCCACCGAGGACATTTATCCGGCTGCCGGGTGTGTTTGCCGCCGCTGCCTGTCCTGCTTAGCAGCCAACTCGTCCTGGGCCCTCAGTGCCATGTGTGGAATGTGCCCGCACTCTCCAATGGTCTGAGGGACAGTGACCTGGCCTCCTATTTAAAAAGTTTGAGGAACCCTGCTCTTGTTACTTGTTGACTAGTAAGGTTTAGCCTTGCCTTTTTAAACGTTTGGTAATAGAAGATGTGCTAATTCAGTTTTAAAAATGGATAATTTTTATTCTTTTTAAGCTCATTTCATTGTGTAGTGCATATACACATAAACAACAACATATAAAGGTTTAAGAGTGTGCCTGCCACACTCACTGCCTTGCTTTCTTCCCCTTGTAAAGATCCTGCCTGCGGTCACAGGGAGCACAGGCTGTGTCTCTCTCACAAGCCAAATTCCTCACTGTATTTAGGATAAGGACTCATTTGCTCAACTGTAAGAATTAAAAAAATAATTATTAGCAATCTTCTAAAACATGGTGTTATTCCAAAAATGGAAGAATGTGTTCCTGCTGTTTCTACGGTGTACGTCTTGCTCTAGAAAGGGGAGAAGCTGTGTGATTGGAACCCAAGAAGCAGATGCATTAACAGTCAGAGCTCCTTGTTATAGCTGTTTCGGTGGGCTCCAAGATTCCCAAGGGCAAACATTCTTAAAGAGAGTCCGCCTGTACCTGTTGAGGGGGGATAGAGCTGTGAGTCCTTGTTAACTCCTCCTTCATGGTAAATAGAGGGATTTACAGTGCATAATTTCTTTACATTCATTGTTTTACAATTATTTCTTCAGTGAACTCATTCTTCTTTCTATGAACTTTGGCCAGGTAAATGAATGAAATAGAAAACATTTTAATAACTTGTTTGTAATTTCAGCATATAGTATTGATAAGATATGATGCTTTGGCCTCCTGATTTGCAATTCACTAATACGTTCATTCATACCATGCACCTCTTAACTGTTGCAGGAAACAGCTACATCATGTTCATCATGCAAGCATAAATTATATTTCTTTCTTTCTTTCTTTCTTTCTTTCTTTCTTTCTTTCTTTCTTTCTTTCTTTCTTTCTTTCTTTCTTTCTTTCTTTCTTCTTTTTTTGAGACTTTCTCTTGCTCTGTTGACTGGGCTAGAGTGCTGTGGCATCAGCCTTGCTCACAGCAACCTCAAACTCCTGGGCTCAAGCGATCCTCCTGCCTCAGCCTCCTGAGTAGCTGGGACTACAGGCATGCACCACCATACCCGGCTAGTTTTTTCTATATATTTTTGCTTGTCCAGCTAATTTCTTTCTATTTTTAGTAGAGACGGGGTCTCGCTCTTGCTCAGGCTGGTTTCAAACTCCGACTTTGAGCAATCCTTCCACCTCGGCCTCCCAGAGTGCTAGGATCACAGGCGTAAGGCACGCACGGTGCCCGGCCCATAAATTATATTTTAAAATATTAAATATATACACCCAGATAAAGCATAAAGATATCAAAGCTATCATAATGTGGGAGCTGACAGGAAAAGCTTTGGATCAGACAAATCTGAATTCAGGCCCGGGTTGTCCGTTCTCAGCCGTGTCCCTGCTCACACAGGGACACTCTAGGCGGTGCTGTTTCTTTATCTGCATGATGGATATAATAATATTTATTTTTTAGAGCTCTGAAAGTAAAAAAAAAAAAAAAAATGACGTAATAAGTACTGAATAAGTGATTGTTAAACAGAGAGACTAAATATCTCTTCTAAGAAATTTAATTTAAAAGAGAAGTAAGAATGTTCAGAAATACCATTTTGCAGTGATTATTTTTGTGTTGTTTTATAGTTTCTGACATTCACAGGTTTTTTTTTCATTTTAACATATGATATTAGAATACATCTTATAAGAATGTATTCTATAATTTAAATTTAGTTGTAGGTTTTTTCTTTCTTAGTAGTACATAAAATAGTGGTGTGTCTTACCATTGACATTTCAGATTCAATGAAATACAGTTTTTATGATATGCATCAACATTTCTTTTTCTTCAGGAGGCAATAATGTGTAGTGGCTCTGCATTCAGACCTTGGTTGTACATAGATTATGCTAGATTCCTGACCCTGTCTTTGCCTTATCTCTTACTTGCAAAATGAAGACCTAGCCCATGAATTTGTCAGCATTAAATTAGAAAATGCATATAAATTTCCTAGCATAGTGTCTTGTGGAGAATTGTTAATGCAAAATCATAGCCACTATTGCTGTTGGTATCTTCATTTTCTAGTTAATCTGTGTATTCACCGACCTGGATACTAGATCCAGGACTGCCACTAATTAACCTTGGAATCCAGCAAAGCACTTAACTTTTCTGTCTCACTGTCCTGTTTTGCAAATAATGTTTTGGCCAAGAAGAACTAAATTTTGTAATTTTATTAACTAATTCAATCTTAACATAATGTGACCATGAAATGAATTTCATTTGTTTCTTTCAGTTTGTGGGGACATCCATGGACAATTCTTTGACTTGATGAAGCTCTTTGAAGTGGGGGGATCCCCTGCCAACACTCGCTACCTCTTCTTGGGGGACTATGTTGACAGAGGCTACTTCAGTATCGAAGTAAGTTCACATCATTTCTTCTCAGCTGCTCAGTTGGAAATCAGCTATGTCTTAATGAAAGAAGAGTGATGATTGTTACTGCCTTAAGGAACTCCCCAGTGTATACGACCATGAAATTTAACATACTTACTCCATGGACTATCACATGTCCTATTTTCAGTAGATTCCCGTATCTTTTTTAATGTATAAGGATGCCAAGGAAATGGTAAATAGTGAGATTTTGCCTTTTGTATATTGTATATATTTGCAAACTTGCAAAAATTGCATCTTATTTTACATTAGATAATTGCATTTCTTACTGAAAGAACTAATCAAAGTTGGTAAAATAAGTAGGAATATTGTTTCATGTTTATGCCTTACGATTGTGAAGCCGTGTTACCTTTGTAAATTGATAGCAAAGTGCTTGGGTGTGTGTGTGTCTGTGTGTGTGTGTGTGTGTGTGTGTGTGTGTACACTCACAGCTGCTGTATTGTGTCTTTCGTGGCACCTGCCATCTAACGAGGGTAATTTGTCAAACTCATTAATTAAAACCAAACAGATAACCTTTGAGTTGAGGCTCTTCCCTAGCCTCCCAAATGCATCTACTCTAGGAGAGTAGAAATTACATTCACAACAAAGGCGAGGGCCTTGTTTTATTCTTGTGTTTCTTTCTTCCTGGTGCCTGATGTGGTGTCTTAGTAAATGTGTCTTAAAATAAATGGTTTGACATAAAATACGTTTTAAAGAATCAGAGCTCATATGTAGTAGATGACATTATATGTGCTATCAAGAAAAGACATTAAAAAGGAAAATGATTATTCTTAATTTACAGACATTAACATGATATATTCGTAATAATCATGAAAAATCCTATGTTTTAAAATTTTCATTATAATATTTTATTTACAAAATAGATATTTAATGTTGAAAAACATGTAACCCTTAGTTTTTGTTTTTAAAGCTATAATACCACTTTTATTTTTGGTTATTCTCTTCACCTCCAATCATTGACTACACACACACACACACACACACGCACACACACACACACACACGCATTTATATATTCACCCACACACATGCAGATATATACACACATACATGCATTATAAGAAAATGTATAAACATGTAAAAACATGTATTTCCTCCAATATATTAATTTTTTCTGCATTTAAGGACCACTAGTTTCTTAATTACTCATGGTAATGATGAGAGAAGGAAGGAGGGGAGATGATAGCATATAAATCCCAAAAGAGAAAGTAAATTTGTGGTGTTTCTTCCATTTGGTGATCAAGTAATGTCAAGCACATATGTGTATGCATAAAGTATATATTATTGGGACCATGAAGGATTTGCAGACATCTAACATATACCTTTGCTCTCTAGAAACCTAAATCTGTGTTGGAAACTATAACCATAAAAGTGCAGGTGGAATCAGAAGCCTAGAATAGGTGATCATCCAGAGTTCAGTATTTGAATGGATTATTAAAATCTTGTGATAAAGGAGGTACAAAAAGTAAGTGTCATTGGAACATAGAAAAGTGAGAAAGTTGAGAGCACATGGTTGGGAAAGAAAACAAAGCACAGGAGAGATTTAGCTGGGGGGAGATTGAAGTGAATAGAAATACAGAGGAGAAAATCGGTGAGCCTTGCAAACCTTGGTTTTGCTCCTGGGCTAACGACCAGCGTCAGCAGCAGGGAAGGGCAATTAATATAAATTTTTTAAGATGTCTGTACCACATTAGGGCTGTGTCTGTCAGGAGTAACAACAATAGCAAAACAAAAGCCCTATGTAGTGGTGGTTTGAACAAGAGAAATGTTTATTTCTCACTCTGTAAAATCCCCTAGGTGGGCAGCCCGGGGCTGGTGTGGCCCAGCGTGGTGCCAGGCCCAGGCTCCTGCTGCCTTGTTGCTCCTTGTTGCTTTGATGTTCATGGCCTCATTCCAGAGACACCCCCATGACCCAAGACAGCTACATCAGCTTCAACCATCGTGTCTCCACTTCACATTCAGCAAGAAGGAAAAGGAGAAAGAGAAGGGTGTATCCTCTTGGATGTTAAGGATGTTTTCCAAAAGTGGCACAGTTACTTCAACCTGTATGCCCCGGCTCAGACTTTGTAGATACGGCTGGCGATGATCTGTGTGTAGCCAGGTTTGAGAAAGACTGCAGTGGGCAACAGACAGCAAGGGAGGGCCAGGGGCTTCTGCTATTCCCCTTCAATTAGGGTTGTAGATGTCCTACAAATTATTTTAGTAACTCCTAAATTCATTTTATTCATTTAACATTTATAGTGCTCCTAAGAAAGGAAGATGAGGTTGAATGAAAAAGGTGTTCTGCTTTCCTTGAAGCTTCCTTCCAAGTGAGGAAATCCCAAGACTGTCCTGTTGGGAGTGATTATTTTTATCAGCCAAATGATGGTGGAGTGCTGTGTTTTCATATCATAACATTTGCAACTTTGAACAACTTGGTTTGTATCTTTTTAAATGTAATCAAGGCAACACTTTCTTGTTAATATGTCAGTAAGTATAAAGCACTAAATCCCGTGATGCCTGAGTGACAGTGACACAATTGGACTTTCCCTTCTTCATGGCACCAGCGTCATCCTTGGATAATTTAAATTCTTAATTTTATTAGTCTTTATTTACCTTTTTAAATTCTTTTATTATTTTATTTGAAGAATGCAGGCTTCTGAACCTCTGGCCTCAAACCACTTGAAATGTCCTAAACTTCTCCTAATTAGAGCTTTTCAGAGCTCTGTTTTTTTCAAGAAGTTGAGAAGCAGTAAATCACTAATTTGTTACTCAGCAGATTTTTGTTCTTTAGTCTATAATTAATCTCGATATTTGAACTAGGAAAGTTGCTATATTTTTTGTAGTATGCTCCTTTTGAAATACAAGCAGAGGATCAAAGAATCAGTCTGTTGGTGACGTATCCACTGTAGTTATCATGGGACGTTTAAAAGTTCTGAGATGCACGTACCAGAGTCCTCATCCTCAAAAACACCTCTTTAATTAAACTCCAAGAGTCTGAGAGCACAGCCCCAGGGACTTGCACCATACATACAAAAATGGCAAAATGGCTCATCTCTAAAATGTTCCATTTTGATTAGATTATGGCCTTTGAGGGGCTTTGGGATGGCTCAGTGATATCATCATCATGTTTAAAATAGCACAGACTTTCATGTAAAACGTACTCACTGAGAATACTTTGGGGATTTTTATTATGGATTAAGGAAGCTGACACTGTATTTTGTAAATCCTGTTGTTTGCATGGTTTAGATGATCCCATTTATTCCTCGCAGCTCTGAGCGGAGCACGTAAATGCATTCCTTTTCTGAGCGTGGAAACTGAGGCTCTGAGGAGGTCACACGTAGGAAATGGCAGTGCTGGGATGCACTGACCCTGCTCTTCCCACTGCCCGGGTCTCGGCTGTGGCACACTCACCAGGGTACCACAAAGTGCCACAAAAAATGCACACAACCACAATGCAGAAACTTGGATGCCCTGTTACATGCCGTTACACTCACCCACGCGTGTTCAAACGTGTGCACGCAGCCCTCTCCCACCTACGCAATCTGAAGGTCAAAGCTTAAATACCAAATGTTCTCCAGTACTGTGCTGTTGGTTTAAGAAAAATCCTGAAATAAGAGTTCAGTTTTCCAGTGTGTGTTATCCTAACAGGCTTCAAAAGCTTCTTGATTCATCTCAATAATTCAGAGCTCCGTGGCAGGCACGGCCTTTGGCTATGCTCTGGGAGAAGGGGAGCACTTAACTTTAATTTTTACCAAATCAGCTTTGAAGAACAGGCTCAGATTTCAAACAGCGTCTGCCGGGCTGTTTACGGGCTCTGGGCAGCACACAGAGCTGCTTAGAGCTCCCCCACCCACCACCAATCTTCTTTTGCCAAGATTAGAAGTAATTTCCCGCAAAGTTAGCTCAAATGAGACAAGCAAGCTTTTGAGTAGTGATGAAAGAGGCAATTTTGTTTTGAGTAATAATTTGTCTTGCACCAAATGCTGCTCTGTCTGACGATTGCATCACTCTACCTAATCTCTTTGATCAGGCGAATGTGGACGCAGAGTCCACGGCTGAGTGTGTTCTTCGGAGCACACAGAGAAAACTCAGAACTGCAGTCACGCACAGCTGTTTCTTCCGATGCCCTTCCCCAAGCTCCCTTTCTAGTATTTTCTGCGCTGGGCTGCCTCGAGTTTTGTAGCGAGGTGGCCCGTCGGCTGGGCCTGCCTACGTGCAGCCGGCACAGCCAGGCGTGAGGAGCTGTGCTCGTTAGCTGTGAGATCAGCAGCCAGAGTGAACTGCGTCGAGTCAGGCCATGTCCCATGCTTCTGCCAGAAAGTAACAAGCAAGGGGTGCCCACGTGAGCGACGGTAGGTGACACAGTGACGCCACGGACAGGAGGAAGTTGTCTGGCTGTCTCCCTGCACTGCTGTCCACGGAGGCCAGGGTGTCAGGCCGGGCAGGTGGTGTCCTAGGGGAGCCCAGCTGACACTTCAGGAGTTTGGATCTTTCCCGCTAATGCGCACACTCCCCCAATTGTGCCGCGGTTGAGAGCTGCTCTTTTGACTGGAGTTTCACGCCAGGGCTGGTCACTTTAGGGAGCTCATTAACATATAGCCGAAGCTGTATATTATTTTACTTCCTTGCTTCCTTCTTCACTTCCCTGTGCAATTTTTCTAGAGTATTTATCATTAAAACATAAATTGCAAAGTATATCACTGTACTGTTATTATCAGTGAGCCAATTAAATTAATGGAAATTAGATTCTTAGCGCTGCTTCCTTGGGGAAGGTGGGTTAATCGAATAGGAGAAAGCTATGTCTTTGACAGAAATTAATCAAATGTAGAGATGCTTAGTCTTTCATACTGAGCAACCTAAACTAACTGTAACATGTAAATATTCGCTTAATTAAAAGGAAGAATGGAAAGACAGTGGGGGTCCGGTTAAAGTGATCGGTGCGGCTCATTTGCATCGCACCAGGCAAGAGAGGCAGGCAGTGGCGCTCTGTTTCTACCTTCCCCAGTTAATGCAGCGGAAATTTGATTTGAGTTAGGCAACTGATACCACATAGATAAAAAGTAATTATTTTAAAGAGACTTTTTAAAACTAATATTAGGCTATGATTTTGCTTAAGATCCTCAGCTCTCCAAAATATCAGGACGTTCGATGGCAGAACAGTTGCCAGCGAGACTGTTGTGCTTGGCAGCGGCCGCCCACCAGATGTGGGGCACGCTGGGCACGCCGCGGCCACTGCAGCCGCCCTGCCCTCCGTCCCCACGCCCGCCTCCACGCTCCCGCGTTCGTGGGTTAGTCCATGTTTGGGAAGATATTTTATTCTTGCCACAGGGGAGAAGGAAATGAAATTGAAAAGAGGACTCTTGTTTTTAGGGTATTTTGAGCCAAGAATTTGGAAATTGAGTTATTTTTCTCTCTCTCCTCCCTCCCTTCCTGCTTTTTTCTCTTCCTTCCTTCCTTCCTTCCTTCCTTCCTTCCTTCCTTCCTTCCTTCCTTCCTTCCTTCCTTCCTTCCTTCCCTCCTTTCCTCCTTCCCTCCTCCTTCCTTCCCTCCTTCCTTCACTCCTTCCTTCCCTCCTTCCTTCCCTCCTTCCTTCCCTTCCTCCTTCCTTCCTTCCCTCCTTCCCTCCTTCCTTTTTCATTTACAGGAAAGGAGCTAATATCTTCTGAACTCCTACCATATACCAGGTGTTTTATATCTATTAAATAATAAGGGAAATTAAGTGTGTATGGCATCATTTAAAAGTTGCAAGTAGATGCAATAAGGCTGTTTAGCATAGAGCATTTCTGTATCATTCTTTGAGTGTTCAGTTATGAAGGAGCTGCAGTCATTAAGACTAGAGGTGATAAAGCCATGTGCTAATGTCAAAACAAGATGTTAAACAGATAGCAAAAGAGAAACTGTGGGTCTTAGAATGTGATTAGTAGTATTTGAGTGAGGTTAAAAAAATATAGTTAGGTTTTAGTTGGAGAGATAATAGCTTTGCTTTAAAATAAATGGTTATAGGCAAAACTAACCTTAAAGGGGTCAAAATTGTGATTATATTTTCAAAACAATATTAACTGGGAGGGGGCACCTTCTAGGTGCTGAAATGCAACTGGATCTGAGCATTGTTTTCATGGGAGCATACATATGTAAAAATTAATTGACCTGTAATTTAAAATATGTACACTTCACTGGGTAAGTTATACTGTCCTTGAAAAAAAATCCTTTAAAAAAATAACTACAGTACAGTATAGCCAAAACACGTATTCTCTCTCCCAATATATGAATAAAAGTCATTTACAATAGCAGTTACGACATGTAAATGTATTTTCAAGGACTTTACATACCCATTCATATTCTATATTAGACAGCCTAAGTTAACAGCCAATTTGAGAAAACATGTATGTTACTTTCAGATTAAGGTGCAGCCTTATAAACTTCAAATTGGGAGCAGTCCTCTCTCCCTCACTGGCATTAATGATGGTTTGTAAATATCTCCTGCGATGCCATCCAAGCGTGAGCAGTGCGGTCTCCCCCTATTGCAGCCCGTCAGTGCAGCTGCCAAACCTGCCCACGGCAGGCTCCTGAGGCCACCAGGCTACCCGAGACAACAGGGAACTTTACACATTCCAGCAGATCACTGTGCAAGCCATTTGGTCAGCTTCTCAGAAATATTAATATCATTAGTCACATGAACTTTGGCTGATACCTATAATCAGAAAGCAGTAATTAGAAAATCAATTAAAATAGCATATATATAATTCAACATCAACCTAATATTTTCATTTGCTTCAATCATAATTACATAGTTAGAGACAATATCTTACTCCAAAAACACAACAAGGCACACTTGTTCTGATAATTAGTATTTTCTTCAAAACTTGGACTGTACCATAACGGGCTGAAAACGTAATTAGTTTGCACTCATCCTGTAAATTGTCATGTAAGCTGACAGAGGTGATTATTCTTCACGGGTAGCACAGTGAGTAAGTTGCCAGTAATTTTTCCCTATAGACGTTTTCCAGCATGTCTGCTGTATGTTGGAAGCCAATTATTAAAGTATAATATTGTGGATTTTGGTTTCAGATTTTGTAACCAGAATCAGACTTGTCTCAGTATTTTTGTGATTTCTGTATCCTTTAGCTTCACTATTAGAACATAAATTTCATGAGGATAAAAGAGTTTGCTTGGCTTTCAAACCATGGTGTTCTGTTCCCTACGGATTTTTGATGAGTGCTGGTTGAGGATGTTGAACTTGATGCTGATGCTCGAGTATTCCGGCTGTCTTAGGGCACATTCCAGGAAGACTGTCGATGTGGGTTTGTTGCAGACTTGGTAAATGCGTTGTTGGCATCATTTTTGCACAAACTGATTTGAGAGTTTTAAGATATATAAAATGTATCCCCTAGCTATTGGTACAGTATGGTTAACAAACAATTAATAGATGAAATGTAACACTGCTCTTTATAACTCAAATTATTTAAAAAATCCGGTAACACGAAAGGCAGACTCGGAAAGAAAATGCAAGATGAGATTTGAAGGCAAACACTGAGCAGCTCGGCTAACTTTAATTGCTTCCCCGTTTCCTATTAGTTTCTCTCTTTCACCACCTCCCTGCCTTCCTCTCCCTGATCGTCTTGTCTTTTATTTCAGTGTCTTTTGTATGTAAAGCCTTAAATTTTTGTTTTATGCATAAATATAGTTATAATAAAGGCCAGGAAATCTCATTACACATACCAATATCTCTTCTCATATTTCACACCAGCATGTTTTCATTTAAGCTTCTTCCTCTTTCCATTTTATTTTTCTTTCCCTAAACCAACTTCTCTCACTCCCCCAGGCCACATAATTCTCCTTCTATTGACCATGTAAAATCTGTTGTTTTCTTGTGATGTATGATGAACCTAGACTTTGTACCAAAGTAATGTTTTCTGTTTAATTGTCAACATCCTCCCTAATAAGGCCAGCCCCTGGGGACTTTTGGTCATGATAACTAACCTATTCAATCCGTGTCTTTAGGATGTGTGAGCAATGGAATACATAAGTATAAAGGAAAAATATTTATGTTTATATGATTTTTTATTTTTATTTTTCTCAGTGTGTGCTGTATTTGTGGGCCTTGAAAATTCTCTACCCCAAAACACTGTTTTTACTTCGTGGAAATCATGAATGTAGACATCTAACAGAGTATTTCACATTTAAACAAGAATGTAAGTATATGTCAAGACTTCCTGTTACACCATATGTGCTAGGTAATAATTTTTGTCAATATGCAATCCATTGCCTAAAAGTACAAAACTTAATGTGACACTTTTTTGTTTTATTCCATGTTTCTTTTAAAGCAAGGACAGTTAGGAGAATACAGAATTTCTTTTTAAGTTATAACTTCTCTATAAAGTGATCTAAGGACTTGAATTAGGATTTGATGTAATTTATTATAAGAAACGATATATGGATACTACTGCTTGGGACAATACTTCTACCCTTTAATCTCATATCAAGAAAAGCAAATGGGAAGGGCAGATTGAACACTATGCCTCTATTTTGGGGCCTAATAGATACTAGCCTCTAGTGCATTTTATAAAATTAAAGATACTTCCTTTAAATATAGATACTAAGACTACAGAGTACTTCCTTTAAATTTCATTTTCCTCCTATCAATTTTCCCTGTTGTCCATTGAAACTTGTAAAGATACATAAAGCTTAAAGTTTTTGTGCTGTGTATAAACACAGTTAAATTGAAGGCCATGTAGTGGTACTACACATACCGGCATTTTTCATTTAGTTCTATATCCAATGGAGCATGAAAACTTCTCTCAAAACATTAGATGTAAGTCAGTAAGGGAAAAGCAATTTACAGTGAGATGGAAATGACTTTAGAAAATTTCTTGCGATATGCTTTTCTGTAAAATCATTCAGGAATATCAACTAGCCTCATGGCCGTTTTTCTATTGGTCTTCAGTTGTTTGTGTAGATGGTGATACATCTGCAGACACAAAGCCAGAATGTATATAAAAGTTCTCTCCTTTGCTATATAAAAAGTTATGAAAAATTATAAAATATAGATGAATGACAAGAACAAACACCAAACATAAAAGGGTAATCTGTAACTCTTAAAAAATCTTATTAATTGTATTTTGGAATTTGCAATGTATACTTTTATGCTAATAGTACTGTCATGGCATTTTCTTAATGTTTTAAAAAAATATCTTAATGAAATGATCCTAGCCACAAATCATGAGAGCAAATATTTGTTTTTTTGTCACATTTTAAAGGTAAAATAAAATATTCGGAACGCGTGTATGACGCCTGCATGGATGCCTTCGACTGCCTCCCCCTGGCCGCCCTGATGAATCAGCAGTTCCTGTGTGTACACGGTGGTCTGTCTCCAGAGATTAACACTTTAGATGACATCAGAAAAGTAAGTTCTTGGTGGCTCACACCTGCAATCCGAGCACTTTCGGAGGCTGAGGCAGGAGGACCACTTGAGGCCAGGAGTTTGAGACAACCCTGAGCAACATAGTGAGAACCTGTCTCTACAAAACATTAAACAATTAGCTAGGTGTGGTGGTGCTCAGCTGTAGTCCCAGGTACTCAGGAGGCTGAGGCAAGGCAAGAGGATTTCTTGCACCTGGGAGTTTGAGGTTGCTGTGAGCTATGATGATCCTATTGTACTCTAGCCTGGACAACACAGTGAGACTCTGCCTCAAAAAAAAAAAAAAGAAAGAAAAGGAAAGAAAAGTTACATTCTGTTATTTTCCGAGCCTAATCATTCTGTGTGCTTTAGTAATAAACAGGAGATGTTAATTACCCTGCCTTTATCACTAACCTTGAATTAGAATGATTTAAAGTGGTCATGAACCTCTTATGTTAAATTTTTATCTAGAAGGGAAGCTATGTTTATACTTGGAACAGTTTTTATCTTTAGAACCTCAGGGTTCACCTTGCCATGTGCCATGTGTCATTGGAAAAATAAAATATTTGATCTCTGAAAAAAATGTTTTTTCATTTCCATTTGGCTTTTTTCAAACAATCCAGCATATATTCATGATACAAGATGGCAGAAACGTTGCTTTGCCCTTGGGAAAATATCACAGCTTGACCTTTGAAATATGTACCTTTTATGATTTGTTTTTTAATCTGCTATTGGTTACAGCTTAAAACTTAGAAGTAACAATCTCTAACAAAGCAGTGATGATATTCTATTGATTGCATTGAATGGCTGGTTGAAAAACGATTGAGTTATTCAATCATGGCTATTACAGTTGTTTTAGCCAGCAAAAAGATGACTTAAATTTAATTTGGAAGTGGATTATGTCTTTTTCTTGAGAAAATATAATAATATGGCATAGTTTTATATAGTAGAAGAGACAAGTCTTTTATTTTTTTAGTTATATTTCTAACTCTGATAATTGCAGCAATGTAAGGAAAAGAATGAGAGAAAGAGTGATTGAAAAACTCTGCATATTTTTCTTGGGGCCAAAATCACGACAGGGAGAAAGCAATGTAAATGTTTTCTCACATCATCTTAAAATAATATTACATGGAATTATCTTAAAATATGATAATTTGTTCACATTAATATTTATAACATGTTATATATGATTGAAAGATTGTATTCTATCTTCTTATCAAGGAAATAAGCTAAACATTTTTATGAGAATTATTAACAGGCGAAAACTTTATTTCCTTTTAGGACCTTCTTTCCTCTACTTTTAGAGACCTGAGAAAATATGCTTGTGCCTATCCCAGATAAGAAAAGAGAGCTGAGAATAATTCTAACCTTTGATTACTATTCTCAACAGTAATTTTATCAAGAATAAATTGGTCACATCATTCTAGCTACTGTATTCTAGCTACAAAAATCAAGATTTTACTGAGTTTTGTTCTAAAGATAATACTATTTAGTATTTATATGTTAAAGCCTAATGTATTATAAGTCGACTTTGGCTTCAAATAAATGATGCACTAATCTCAATGAGTATAGAATTTATTGCTTAAGAACAGGTTTACTTAAGAGTAATCATAGACGCAATTCGAATTCTAGCTCTTATCATTTCTGGGCATTCATACAAAGATTCCTTTGGTGTCACTTGTTTAAGTGATTGCCATTTAATCACATTTTCCATTTCCCTGAGTTTGGAAACGTCATTGCCAAGTCTCAAATCTATATGTTGGATGACATTTATAAGTTAATTCTATCAGCTGCCTTAAGTTATTTAATTAATAAACAGTATTTTTCTATTGTGTTCAGTGGATAAGGAAATCAAATGTTTTATCTATTCATATATGCATGTATCCCATTGGTAACCTGATAACCACTTACTCTACAGTAGGTTCGGAAAATGACATAGGTCAAAGTACAAATAAGGGTAGTTGTTCTGGTAGCAAATGTTGGACTTCAAAGACAGGTATTTATGAGGTCTGTCCAAAAGGATCCAGCCATTGTTGATATAGCGAGAACAGTTTGCACAACATTGACGTGACCTGGCAGCCCAGGAGAGTGGACTGCACGTGCGTGTGTGAACAGCGATGAAGTCACTCTAGAAGCCACTGAGCGAGTGTGTGCAGTGACTGTGTGGCTGTTGCATTCAAAATGAACAAGTAGGGCAACAATTCTGCATCAAATTTTGCATTAAGCTTAAACGCTCCTCTGCAGAAACTATTCTGATGATTCAAAAGGCTTTGGGGGGTGATGATGCAATGAGTGCAGCACAAATAAAAGCGTGGCACACACGTGCCGAGGATGGTCGAGAATCTGTTGAAAGTGATCCACATTCTGGAAGGCCTGCAACAAGCAGGACGGCTGAGAATGTTGAGTGGGCGCAGTTAGGTTAAGAGATGCTGGGGGAACCGGGTGAGGTCCCAAGGGGCCTACTGTGAAGGGGACTGGGCACAGTGTTTCTTGTATCTTCTTCAATAAACGTCTCTATTTTTCATATGACATGGCTGCATGCTTTCTGGACAGACCATGTACACTTTTTTATTCTCTTGTCTTGACTAAACTTCATGGGCTTAGATGGAAAATGAGGAACTTAACAAGTGTCCTCCTGAACAGGGGTATTAGTGAAAACTTTACTCAAAATAGCATTTCCATTATTTTGAATAAAACTGATAATACTATATAAAGTTTTGTACTCTAGAGAATAAATACAAAAGAAAGATAGGCTGCCAGGCTATTTCTTTGAAGACGCAGTCATCAGCAAAAAAGCTATAAACTATATACTACTATAAAATTAATGACCATTTTATATGGTTCTTATTTATTGTGTTGCTTTAATACCTTTCTCCATAGGAGTTGGTGTTGAGGAAATACTTTATTAAATTGTGAATATATTTATATCATAAATCTCTACTACCACGAACTCAGTATTCTTTTACAAGTTCATTGGTTTTTAGAGAAAAACTATATTTAGGGAAGTAAAACATTCAAGTTCTTCCTCAATACTCTGTCATCGAGGTTCAAGTGTTCAGGTATAAAAATAATATTGTATTTACTTTCCCATTAGAAGGGAAATGCATGCTTTTTATTTTAAAAATTAAAAAAGACATCAAATATACCTGTTTCCTGCTCTGTGTGTCTGTGTGTCTTTTTTTGTAGGACACTATCACACACTTGCTTCTAGTGGGTTGTGTAACACACACAGCATTGCTCTTTGCTCTATATTTAAGGTACTGGAGATATGATATGATGGGAAATATAGTTATGGAGCTCAAGTATAGAGCTATTCCTTTCTGCGTGAATGTAAGCAGTTCGTTCTATAATTTGGTGAACTTTTTAAAAAAATATGTAACTAATCATCTCATTATAAAGTTAATAGATTTTTAAAAATATGACCTATTATGCCAAGGACTTACTTTCTGGCATATTTTAAATATTATGTTCAATTTTCACACATATCATTAAGCTTTTAGCTATAAAACGATTTTTAGGTTTGTATTTTCTCTTATGTTCATTTGAGTTTTCAGTACACTTATTTAATTAATTGTATATTTGTTTATTGTAAATGGCGTTAACTTTTAGAAGGTACTCTATAATTTATCCAGCATAAATTATATATTCTGGTTGCTTTGCCAAGCCTTCTGTTGTGGATTCATATTAATCAAAGTTTCCCCTCCTCTGCTTTCCTACCCCTAGTAATAAGTTCTTGTTTCTCAGAAAGAAGTTCTGTATTTTTATGGACAAGCATTATTTTTTTTCTTGACTGAATTGTTCTAAAAGCATAAATTATTTAAATCTCTTCAACAAGTCTAAGTTTGAAATGAATATTTTATGGCTGACATAATGGTTACAATATAAAGAGTCTTGTTTTCATTGAGTGTTGAAAATGTGAAATATTGCTTCATTCTCTTTAGATATTAGTAAAAATTAGTGTGCAGCAAAACCATTACTTAGATCATCTTATACATCCCAGGAAAAATAGAGAATTTGATTGGCTGCCAGCCTAGTATATTCGCTTGTCGCTATTAGACTTTTTCAAAATATTAAAGTGTTAACTATGAAGAATATCAATTCTCAATAGATTTTCATGGCTACTTTATGCTCTTATTCAAGAAGCTTTATATTATCTGCTAATTCACCAAAGATCCTTTAATTAGATTTAAATCAGGGTAAACTAAAGGAAAGTGACACTGTTATTAAATTGTTGGTGAAATATTATTTCCAGTGATTACATTACTCATATGCATTTATGTGCCATTTAAAATTGAAATATGACTTTGCTAAGCATTTGTAGCTGGAAACTGGATTCCATAGGAAGGCTTCAGGTAAAATCGTAAGGCTTAGAGCTGTACACCGAAGAAGGACTTGCTAAATTTGAGATTATTTTACTGCTTATCATGACTCTTATTTGTGTCCAGTAAGATCCACTACAATAGGCTTGTACTTTATAATCAGTAGCCTAGATGGCCTGCAATGGATGAATATCCAAAATGTCATATAGCAAGTGACTACTTTTAACATGAAAGCTATCTATTCTCAAAATCATATTGTTAAACATAAACACTGTAACATAGCCATAAAACCCTGAAGGTGTTCCCCATCTAGACTTCTGATCACAGTTCAATAGAGGCGGTGATAGGAATCTCCCCAAAGGTAAAAGGAAAGCTCCTGTACCAATTCAGCATGTAGGGTGACATTACCTGGTAAGGACTCAAACAATAGGTGAGTAAGGAGGAAGAAGGATGCAAGGGCGAATAGGAGAAGGGAGAAAAGGAGTACAGAGGGAGGATTCAAGAGGCAAGGGGGAGGGGTGAAGACAGGTAATGGACGAGCTGGTCAGGAAAGCTGGGTGGAAGGCGCAGGGTGGAAGGATGGGGGAGAGGGAAGAAGACAGTTCGCCCTGAACTGCGGCTGTCGAGAAGGAGGGCGCTGCACAGCGCTCGTTTCTTGTACTCTCTGACTTCCAAGTTTCTAAAGATTAGTATTTTGCTCTCTGTCTTCTATTTTTTTTTTAGTTAGACCGATTCAAAGAGCCACCTGCTTACGGACCCATGTGCGACATCCTGTGGTCAGACCCCCTGGAGGATTTCGGGAACGAGAAGACTCAGGAACATTTCACCCACAACACCGTCCGGGGCTGTTCGTACTTCTACAGGTGAGGGGACAGCGTGTGCGCCGCGAGTGCTGGGACTCGCCCGTCCCTGTGCTTGACCGGTCTGTGATGCTTGTGTGACTTCTTAGGAAACCAGTACAAATGAAAGGTTCGCTTTGAAAGTCTGCTCCAGTGGGTTCGTAGTGCTTGGAAAATGAAAACAGAAAGAAATGAATAAGTGAATAAATAAATGAAAAATATATATGTACACATTTACAGACAGACCTTGGAGATATTACAGGTTCAGTTCCAGACCACTGTAGTGAGTGAATGTCGCAATAAAGCATGTCACACAGGTTTTCTGATTTCCCAGTGCATATAAAAGTTCTGTTTGCACTATACTGTAGTCTATCAAGTGTGCCATAGTATTGTATTTTTTAAAAGTGTACAGACCTTAATTTCAAAATTCTTTTATTGCTAAAAAATGCTGGTGATTGTCTGAGCCTTCGGTGAGTCTTCATCTTTTTGCCTGAGGAGGATCTTGCCTCAACGTTGGTGGGAACTGACTGATGGGGTGGGGGCTGCCGAGGGTTGGAGTGACGATGGCAATTGCTTAAAATAAGATAACTACTAAGTTTGCTTCATCAGTTGGCTCTGCTTTCACGAAAGATTTTTCTACCATGAGATGCTGCTTGATTGCATTATACCTGCAGTAGAACTTTTTTAAAATTGCATTCAGTCCTCTCGAAACTTGCTGCTGCTTTACCAGCTGTTTATGAAATATTCTGAATCCTCTGTTGTCATCTCAACAGTGTTCACAGTATCTTCACCAGGAGGAGATTCCATCTCAAGAAACCACTTTCTTTGCTTATCTAAGAAGCAACTTTTCACGTGTTCAAGTTTTATCACGAGATGGCAGCAGTTCAGCCCCATCTTCAGCCTCCACTTCTAGTTCTCTTGCTGTTTCCACCACCTCTGCAGTGACCTTATCCACTGGAGTCTTGAGCCCCTCAAAGTCATCCATGAGGATTAGAGTCAGCTTCTTCCAAACTCCTGTTACTGTTGATATTTCAGCCTCCTCCCATGGATCACGAATGTTCTCAGTAACATCTAGGATGGTGAATCCTTTCCAGAAGGTTTTCCATTTACTTTGCCCAGATCCATCACAGGAATCGCTACCTATGACAGCTATAGCTTTCTAAAATGAATTTCTCAGATAATAAGCTTGAAAGCCAAAATAACTCCTTAATCCACATGAAAATAACATTAATCCTTGTAATGGCCCCATCGGAGCTCTTGGGTAACCAAGTGCATTGTCAGTGAGCAGTAATAATTTGAAAAGAATCTTCTTTTTCTGAGATGTAGGTCGTAACAGTGGACTTAAAATATTCAGCAAACTGTGCTATAAACAGATGTGCTGTCGTTCAGGCTTCATTCTACTTCTAGACAGATTTAGCATAGTTCTTAAGGGCCCTTGGGTTTTCAGACTGGTAAAATGAGCATTGGGTTCAACTTAAAGTGTCCAGCTGCATGAGCCCCTAATAAAAGAGCCAGCCTGTCCTTTGCAACATTGAAGCCAGGCATTGCCTTCTCTCTAGCTGTGAAAGTCCTGGATGGCATCTTCTTCCAAATGGAAGGCTGTTTCGTCTCCATTGAAGGTCCGTTGTTTAGTGCAGCCACCTTCACTGATCTTACCTAGATCTTCCGGATAACTTGCTCCCGCCTCCACATCAGCACTTGCTGTTTCACCTTGCACTTTCATGAAGATGGCTTTTTTTCTTAAACCTCCTGAACCAACCTCACCTACTTCCAAGTTTTCTTCTGCAGCTTCCTCACCTCTCTCTGTCAGCCTTCATGGAATTGAAGAGAGTTGTAGCCTTGCTGTAAATTAGACTTTGACTTAAAGGAACATTGTGGGCAGTTTGATCTCCTATCCAGACCACTAAAACGTTCTCCGTATCAGCAATAAGGCTGTTTTGTTTTCTTATCATCTGTGTGTTCCCTGGAGCGGCACTATTCATTTCCTTCAAAACTTTCTTTGCATTCACAACTTGGCTAATTGTTGGGTACACAAGGCCTCACTTTCGGCCTACCTGGGCTCTTGGCATGCCTTCCGTACTAGGCTTAATAATTTCTAGCTTTAGATTTGACATGAGGGACATGCGACTCTTCCTTTCACTTTAACGCTCAGAGGCCACTGTAGGGTTATTAATTGGCCTGATTTCAATATTGTTGTGTCTCAGGAACTAGAGAGGCTTAAACAGGGGAAAGCAGATGGGGGAGTGGCCACAGCGTGCAGTCAGAAGATACAGAACATTTATCAACGAAGTTTGCCATCTTAAGTGGACGTGGTTCAGGGCACCCAAAACAATTGCAGTGGTAACCTCAAAGAGTGGCGACCATGGATCACCGTAATAGATACAATAATTAATAATGAAAAAGTTTGAAGTATTATGTTAGTTACTAAAATGTGGCACAGAGACATGATAGGAAGACAAGCTATTGGGAAAATGGCACCAACACACTTGCTCAACGCAGTGCTGCCACAGACCTTTGATTTGTACAAAAGATAATATCCACAAAGTGCAATCAAGGGAGCATCCCTGTATATAAAATTTCTCTGAAGAATAGAAAAGGCAGAAAAGAGCATGCAATGTGTGGCTACTGAAGAAGATAGTAGGATTTAATGGAAAATTTGTTCTGCTTCAAGAACTATAGAAAAAATCCAATGCCAACTTTGTTTTTTTATTCAATTAAGTAATCATGTTTAAAAATTTTACCAGTTTTCAGATCTTGAATTAGAAAAACAACTTTATATTGGTTAATTAAATTATATTCAAGTCATTCTTTTTTTTTTTTTTTAAGTTTATCAGGCTTCCTGGATATATTATAATTGGCAGCGATACAGTGTATAGGTACCATGGTAAATTTATTTTTAGCAACTTGACAAGCCAAGTTGAAAATAATCTTATAATAATTTTTTATATTTGCAAATCTCTAGGGGTTTGCCCATTCTGTAGCATTTCAGGGCACTGCCGGAAGGAGTCTACAACACGGTTGGGTTTCCACGTGACCTCACCTCCTTTCTGACATGTCACCTCTTACCCCTCCACATCTGATTGTCCTCAGGGTTCCTGGGGCCCTTATCATTAGATATACAACTTATGGGAAAGTCGCCAGAGTCAAAGAGAAAAGAGGGTCTGGAGAAGTTGAGAATTTTAGATTCTAGAATAAATATTATCCTTGCTGTTATTTGGCACTTAAAGAAAACAATCCTGATTTTCCCTGAAGTTAATGCTCAATTCCAGCCCTGGCTGCTAAGCTAATGGCAAGACTGGAAGAATTCTGTAAAACACATCGGCCACATCCCTGCTGTCTCTAGCATGAGCAGATATCGTCCTTTTGTGTGACATTGATCAGATGTCTATCTAGCAGTGGGACATTTTGTTCCATATATTAAGCTTTTTATGGGGGTGAAAAGGTCCCTTTTTTCCATCTGTTGATGTGATTGAGACATTAAAGTTTGTGAACAGAAAATGTTACATACTGTAAAGCATCATTCAAAGAATAGTTTTTCTTTATGTAAATATTAATAGAGAGATTTGTTCTAAGCTTATTTATTGGAAAGTTTATAGTTCACTTCTGTATTTTGGAAGTTTGGGCACCAAGTTTAAAGAGTCTATTTTGGTTGAAATGAAGACGAATGGTATATTTTTGAAAAGCCTAAGGTTTCTTTTCAGTACTTAGTTAATTTGGGAGGAGTTTATTTATCAAAGGTGTTTAAACTTTTAATGAAAAGTTAGGTGTTATTAAAGTTTATCAAAGCCATGTGTTCAATTTTCCAAATCTAGTGTTAAGTTCCTAATTATACCAAAGGTGCTTAAATTACCTGTTTTTTACAGAGTTGCGCTTCAATAACATAATACCAAACAAATCTATACTCTTGATTTCGATATTGAGTCCAGTTGCATTATTTGTAATATAGCATTCTGCTTTTACTTTTGTGAGTCAGTTGTTCAAATAAGTTATGTTCTGAAAAAAATTCCAGAATGAACTCACATAAAGTTATGATATTTTTGTTTTATTAATATAGAGACAGCTGTGTTTATGTCAAGAATAGAGTCCATCAGTTTTAATATTGGGGGATAATTAGAGAATTAAGCATGTTTCCACACTTTTGTTCTCAAAATTAGGATTATTTTAACTTGTCTCATTAGAGCTTCTTAGTAGGTAATGGTTTTTAGCCATGACAAATACAGATCATGTGTATGGCTGAATATCTAAATTCACAGTCTGTATAGAGACTACTAATGGCAAAGCAATCCAGATTATTTTTTTACCTAAGGAAGAGGAAAATATCTCTCTCATTTTGATCCTCTTAGTGCCATCTAAGGCATGACATCATGCTTTATAAAGTCCATCCAGGTGGGCACAAGCGAGCCATGAGATTGGTGGAGAAACTTGGTGGCCATGACCATTTTGAGTTATTGGCAGTTATTTTGATCCATAACCCCCAGTTTTATGTTACATGTTTGTATATAGTTGGCATATGTACTTTCATGTGCCACCTACCCGCTGTATAACGTCGTGTCTAGGCCATGATTTACAGGAGACGAAGTTATGCAGAGAAATGCATCAATAAGAATTTATTAATGCTGTTCATGAGTTACATTAGACAGGCCAACAGACAGTGGGGACAGAATCCATAAGAACTGTGTTTTGCCCTAGTGCCACCATTATCTTTATAATCTTAGAGCAGAGTTTGCACACTCAAATGTCTGCGGTGTTCAGGCAGATGATTGGGGTAATTGAAGCAGGCCACGTGTTAGATTGTGGCGACGAGTGAGGACCGCGACAAACTGGAGGCGGGATGTTCGTTTTCATGTAGACCAAAGGAAACTGGCAGCTGGATTTGGTTCTTTGGTTGTCAGTTTGTATTTCTGCTGTGGATGAATCATACAAGATTTGTGTTCTGAGTTTACCTTGCTTCAAAATGAGTGAGTTAAATGAGAAGTTCTGAAATTCCTCTGAGCTCTGAGATTTGACGGGCAGCCTGACAGTCA